TGTGTGTGTGTGTGTGTGTGTGTGTGTCTGTGTGTGTGTGTGTGTGTGTGTGTGTGTGTGTGTGTGTGTCCCCTGGGACCCGTGTGCCCTCTGGCACATTGACGTGGGTGTGGCCTCTGTGTGTGTGGCCCTGGGCTGCCTCTGGACTCTCCCGGTCCCCGGGTGTTGTGCCACGTCCTGGCTGGGCTGCTGCCCTGTGCCCACGTGAAGAAGGGATCGGGGAGGCGCTGGAGAAGGAGGACTGCATGCAGGCCCTGAGCGGCCAGATCTTCATAGGCATGGTGTCGTCCCAGTACCAGGCCCGGCTGGACATCGTGCGCCTCATCGACGGGCTGGTCAATGCCTGCATCCGCTTCGTCTACTTCTCCCTGGAGGACGAGCTCAAAAGCAAGGTGGGGGGCCGGCCCCTCGCTGCCCCAACCCTCCTCCCCACTGGCTCTTGGCCCGTCTCTTGACTGCCATCTTCCTTTTGCAGGTGTTTGCGGAAAAGATGGGCCTGGAGACAGGCTGGAACTGCCACATCTCCCTCACGCCCAACGGGGACATGCCCGGCTCTGAGATCCCACCCTCCAGCCCCAGCCACACAGGCTCCCTGCATGATGACCTGAACCAGGGTGAGGACCCAGCCCTCGGGCGTGCATAGCTCGTCAGTCGCTGGGCCGCAGCTAGAAACAGCCCTCAGAGCTCCCTGTTATAAGTGCCTCCGATCTCCCTGCCGATAACAGCAGTCAGCAAGGGAGGCACAGAGGCCTGGATGCAGGAAGTTCTGTGCCACCTGCAGGGCAGAGAAGGGCCTCCAAAGGCTGGCCCCAAGGTGAGGGACCACTGTTTGTCCCCACAGTGTCCCGAGATGACGCAGAAGGGCTTCTCCTAATGGAAGAGGAGGGCCACTCGGACCTCATTAGCTTCCAGCCCACGGACAGCGACATCCCCAGCTTCCTGGAGGATTGCAACAGGGTACAACGCATGACCTGTGCCCCCTGACCTTAAGTGGCTTCTCGGCTGGCGAGGTGGGGAGGGACAAGGGGCGGACCTCCCCCGACCTGAGGCCACTGTCCTCTGCTTTCTCCAGGCCAAGCTGCCCCGGGGGATCCACCAGGTGCGGCCCCACCTGCAGAACATCGACAATGTGCCCCTGCTGGTGCCCCTCTTCACCGACTGTACCCCTGAGAGTGAGTCCTGGGACCACAAGTACTCCAGCAGCCTGGCCCCGTCCCTCAGCACTGCCAGGGGAGGGAGGTTTCCCCTGAGGGGAGCGGAGGACCCTGGGCTGGGAACCTGCGGGGTGGAGCTGTGGGCGTGCCCGTTCTAGGGAGTCAGAAGTGACAGTATTCATACAATATTCATGCTATGGGGGCGGGTGCCATTGCCCCAGAAAGGAGCCGCTCTCCTCGCCTGCTGGCCTCGGGCCTCTGCCCAGCGCCCCATGGCCCACCTGACTCCGTGCCCTCACTCTGCCCTCAGCCATGTGTGAGATGATTAAGATCATGCAGGAGTACGGGGAGGTGACCTGCTGCCTGGGCAGCTCTGCCAACCTGCGCAACAGCCGCCTCTTCCTCCAGAGCGACATCAGGTCAGGGCTGGGCCAGCTCTGCCTCCAGAGACCCAGACTCGGGGGCTGCACAGGGGGACATAGTCCATGGCTCCTGGGCCTGGTGGGGAGAGGAGGGTCAGTGCTCCGTCCTGTGGGGCCAGGTCTTGGTAAGGAGTGCAGCTGATGGTTGCACCCCGCCCCTGTGAGCAGCATCGCCCTGGACCCCCTGTACCCGTCCCGGTGCTCCTGGGAGACCTTTGGCTACGCCACCAGCACCAGCATGGCCCAGGCCCCGGACGGCCTTTCCCCTCTGCAGCTCTCGGGCCAGCTCAACAGCCTGCCCTGCTCGCTGACCTTCCGCCAGGAGGAGACCATCAGCATCATCCGGCTCATTGAGCAGGTGGGTGCGTGGGAGGGGTGGGGGCACGGGTGGGTGGGGGATGGGGGTGTGTGGGGCTTCCTTTGGGGAGCCTGGGGGTGGGGCAGGAAACAAGGCCCTCACGTCAGAGGCATCCTCACCTCAGCTTGGAGCAAAGCTCTCCCGGCTGTTTAATTCGCCTCTGATCCTTTCTAGCAAGAGCTTCTTGTTGGGTCTCTGGCTCTTGGGTGAAGCTTGTCAGCTGTGGGGCCTGAGAGAGGCCAGCCAGGCCTCGCATAACCTGTCCCTCTCTGTCCCAGGCTCGGCATGCCACCTATGGCATTCGTAAGTGCTTCCTCTTCCTGCTGCAGTGCCAGCTGATGCTCGTGGTTATCCAGGTGAGTGGGGCTGGCACAGCAGTGCGCCTCCCTGCTCCCCTGTTGCTCACAGGCCAGTCGAGCGCCTAGGGGAGGACTGGGGGGGCGGCAGCACAGCCAGGGGGTCCCAGGGCCTCTGTGAAACCCCTGGCATTTGGAGACGGTCCCCGTTGGCAGAATGGTGTCTTCTACCCCAGCTCCTCTCAGCAAGGAGAGGGCGAGGCAGCCTGGGGGCTCCCAGGGTCTCTCTATTTGCCAGAATCTAATTCTGATTCCGGTTCTTTCCTGGTCTAGTTCCTGTCGTGCCTGGTCCAGCTGCCCCCGCTTCTGAGTACCACCGACATCCTGTGGCTGTCCTGCTTTTGCTACCCTCTGCTCAGGTGAGAGGCCTTGCAGCCCTGCCATGCCAGGCAGGTGGGGTCAGAGGACCACAGAGGATGCCCAGGTAGCCCAGGTTCCAGAACTGCCAGGTGCTCACCTCCTCTGCAATAGGAGGAGCTCTCCTCCCTTTCTTATTCTATCTCCCCACCAATCTTCCTAGGAGTCCCTAAAGTCTTCCCATATGGGAATTGGGGGGCAGAGGGCCACAGTCACTGAGCTGTCACCCAACCTCTGCTTTTCAGCATCTCTCTGCTGGGGAAACCTCCCCATAGCTCCATCATGTCTATGGCGACAGGGAAAAACCTTCAGTCCATCCCTAAGAAGGTAAGCAAAGTGGGGCCCTGTGAGCCTGGGCCTTTCACGCGAGGTGGTGAGGGGAGAGGGCCTCCTAACCCTGAACTCTGCAAAGATCAAGATGGGCGTTCCGTCAGAACTGGGAAGCTGGTCACTTGGTTCCTGGTCCTCCCCCAGATCAAAGAGGACACAGCACAGAGCTGAGAAGGATCCTTGCTGGAGGCGGGGAGCCTGCCCCTTGTCTCCCCTGGCCTGACCATGCTCCCCACTTGGTACCATTTACTGAAGAGCCTGTTGACTATATGCAGAAGCTGCTGGGTGCCGGGCCTGGTGCTCGGAGCAGAGGGTGTCCTCCCGAGTGCCGGGCGTCCTCCTGAGTGCTGGGCTGCCTTGTTCCCGCAGACCCAGCACTACTTCCTGCTCTGCTTCTTGCTCAAGTTCAGCCTCACCATCGCCTCCTGCCTCATCTGCTTTGGCTTCACACTGCAGAGCTTCTGCGACACCTCTCGGACCCGCAACCTCACCAACTGCTCCTCCATCATGCTGCCCAGGTGAGTGCACCCCCTGGGACGCTCTTCACCCCCTCGGGGCTCTTCCCACCCACCCCACCCGCCTCCCTCGGGCCCCAGAGAAGGCTGAGCCCACATCCGATTTGGCAGTAACGCTGACGCGGCTCCAGGCTGGCTCGAGGACTTTGCTAACGGGTTGCTGCTGGCCCAGAAGCTCACCGCTGCCCTGATTGTCCTGCACACTGGTGAGGGCCTCCTGGGAGTGGGGGCTGTTGGAGCTGCTCCGCCTCAGCTACAGCTGGGGGGTGAGGCCCAGGGGCGGTGGGAACCCTGACACCCCCGTTGGCCCCATTTTCTCCAGTGTTTATTTCTGTCACCCACGTGCATCGCACCAAGCCCCTGTGGAGAAAGAGCCCCTTGACCAACCTCTGGTGGGCCCTGATGGTGCCTGTGGTGTGAGTATCATGGGGCTGGAGGGGTGGGAGGAGGAAGAGGAGCAGGAGGGGGGCTGCCGTGGGCTGGGATGTAAGGCTGAGAGCTGGGCCAGAGCTTCTGCTGTGCCCACCTCGAGCTCATTTTTGTATCGAGAAAAGCAGAGGAGGACTCAGGAAGACTTGGGGTTCAGGCAGTGCTGTCCACCTCCTGCAGGCTGCTGGGCCAGGTGGTCCAGATGGCAGTGGACCTGCAGCTGTGGACGCACAGGGACAGCCGTGTCCACTTTGGCCTGGAGGACGTGCCTCTGCTGACGTGGCTTCTGGGCTGCCTCTCCCTCATGCTCGTGGTGGTCACCAATGAGGTCGTGAAGCTGCACGAGATCCGGTGAGGGCCCTATGCCTGTCCCCTCCCCAGAAGCTTCCCCTGCTGCCCGTCTCCTGGTCTGAGGGTCTGTACTAACCCGCACTTCAATCTCCTGCCCCCCAGGGTCCGAGTCCGCTACCAGAAGCGACAGAAGCTGCAGTTTGAAACAAAACTGGGCATGAACTCGCCCTTCTGAGCCATTGGCCGTGGTGGCCACCGTTGCCCCAGCTCACGGGGCTGAGCCAGACTGTTCCTGTGTGGGGAGTTGGTATCATGAATGTTTCAGGGTTTGCTGTTGGGCCCCTTAAACCTGTCAGATACCGCCAGGGACTAGAGGTCCAGCTTCTGGCTCAGGCCCGCCGTCTTCCAGATCCTGACGCTTACTGTGGAGGAGCCTTGGAGCTGTGGCCTCAGCCGGTCAGGCCAGGCCTGTCCTCTCCCCTGCCTGTGCCAAGGGTACTCTTGAATGTATGGCCTTGTGTGCTTAGTAGAGGCCTCCACTCCTGCCCTGCAGGCTGTCCCCTCCAGGGCCCTGAACACAGTGCCCTCCGTTCCCAGGTGTGCGGGCGCAGCCTTGAGCCGTGGACAGCGGCAGCAGGAGGCACGTGCCCTCCAGGCTGGGCTGTTGAAGGCAGGCCTACTGTACCTCCCTGCACCCTCGTCCAGTCTCCCCGGGCAGGGCCTGATGCTCTGCCTGGCCGGGGTCCTTCGTCTCTACTCCGACCTGAGGATGGAGCAGAGCCCCGCCGTCCAAACCCCTCTGTTTGGGCTGCCTTCAAGTCACAGCGATACTCCGTCTTGGGGGTCAGGGCTGGGTCCTCTTTTATCCCCTGCCCTAGTTCTCCTATGTGAGAATGTTTTTACTGGTGTATATTTTCTACTGGAAATGAGCCTTTTAGGGATGAATGTAGATGGTTTGTATTAAAACTTGTAAATTGCTTAAGAAAAGCCTGTGGCTGGTACGTGAGGCTGCCACCAGGGGCCCTGCCTAAGGCCCAGTGAGGGGGCCCCAAAGGCAGGAGGGGAGGGTCCACACTGTCTTCCGTCCACCTTGGCAGGGCCCTTGGTCAGGCCCAGACACAACCTGGGCCGGAGATCCATGGCACAGACGCACACACACAGCCGATAACGTGGAATGACACTTTCATTGGTGTTAGTTGGGGGAGGAAGTTAATGGTTACAGAACCAGGGCCTGGGTCAAACAGATCCAACGTCTAGCCCCGAAGGGGGCAGGGGGTGCTCTCACTGTGGCTTGAAGGCCCCCTCACTGCGTCCTCTCAGGCAGTTAATAGATAGAATAAATTCCATTTAAAATATATGCATTTCTCTCTGCTTAAAAAATAACATTTACAGTTGAAAAAGCTTGAGCTTTTGAGATAGGGATCTGTTAATCCCACTGCGAGGCAGGGGGCAGGGGTTAGCCTGGGCACCACGCTGCCACTGCAGGCCTGCCCCTGGCCTCTTATTTACATGTCCTACGCACACCCTCGAGGGAGACGCCTGGCCGGCACCAGGGTTGCAGCGGGGCAGCCCACACGCCACCTCTGGCCTCTATGAGTGCGCAGCCAGGGTCACACAGTGGGAGGCAAGAGGCCTTGAGATCCCAGTGGGTGGGGGCTGTGGGGGGCAGAGTATGACCCCAGAAGCCTTGGCACACCCTTCTCCTGGGGAGCAAGCTCTTGAGGGCTGTGGTTGCATTACACGCGGGGAGGGCTTGCTGATTTGCCAGAGGCCCCTCAGCTGCTCAGGTTCTGGCCAGTCCCCTGGCCCTGTGGCGGGCGGGGGCTGGCTCGGATGAGCAGGGGGCCCTGCTGCGGGGAGACGTCAGTGCCGGCCAGCCCTCCGTCTGTCCGTCGGGCAGCAGGAGCTCCTTCCATGCTGGGGCTGAGGCAGTGGACGCCGCAGGTGGTGGTGGACCTGGTTCAATCCAGCATTGCATCTAGTTGGTCGGCCAGGGCATCGAACATGGTACTGATGTCATCCAGAATGTGCTTGGTGGAGGGCCCAGGGGGGCTGCAGTGAGAAAAGAACCCACTCAGGTGCTGCCTCTGGCCTGTGCTCTGTGCCCCGGGAAGGAGCTAATGGTCCCTGAGGCCCTGCTTGTGGTGAGCACTCTGTGTGCCTTGGCCCCAATCCCCACACCCACCGAGGCAGAAGCCGTCCCTCCCTGATAGACGAGCTCACGGAAGCTCAGAGCCCAAGTGCACGCGCCTCTAAGTGGCCGTTCCCGGGGCTCCCTGCAGGTCAGGTCTGGTGGCTCCAGAGCCCGGGCTCTTTCCATTTCACAGCGTGGCCTCCCCACCCTAAGGCTCTGCCGCAGCCTGCCCCCTGCCCCCGCAGCATTCCCAAGCTGCAGGCTTCCCCAGAAGGGGCTGTTCTGGCACCTGGGCCTTTTCTCCCTCCCTGCCTGGCCCCTCACCCTGCTCTCTCCTCAGTGCCAATGCTCTTCTCTGCTGCCCTGAGCGCGGCAGCCAGGGACGAGCTTGTCTGCTCCAGCCTCTGCTGGGCCCGGCCTGTGCCCGAAGCCCCGGTGCTCTCGGGCCTTGGAGGGGGCACTGGGCGGGGGCCAAGCCGGGGAGCCAGCTTCGGGCCAGAAAACGCCAACTGGGTGCAGGCTACGGACACAGGCTTGGGGGCTGTTCCTGCACAGACAAGGGTGGCTTGTGACTCAGCTGGGCTGGACACATCCCTGCAGACCGTGTCCCCTCCCTGCAGGCCTCTCTGCCTCATACCTGCTCCAGGCACCTTGATGAGGGCCGCAGGGGCAGCCAGAGGCTCCGCCTTCCCATTCCGGCGGCTGCCTGCTGTGGGTTCCAAACCTGGCCCGGCACAGGGGGGCACAGCCATGGGGCTGGGAGATAGAGAGGCTGGAGCTCCTGGAGCTGGAAGGCTGCTAGGGTCAGGGCGGGGAGAGGGAGATGTTGAGGGGGCCTCGCTGGGGGTCTGGGAGGTCACAGGAGCCGGGGAACCAGGCATGGTGCTGGCCACCCCAAAGGCCAGCAGTGCCGTCTGCAGCGGCTCTCTCTCCCGGCACTTGGGCCTCCGCTTAACAGTGTCTGACTCCGTGAGGTTGAAATCCAGGCCAGGGGGCACGGGTGTCTCCCGTGCGGGGGGTCCGGCCGGCTTCGGCCGCTGTTTGATGGTCAGATTTCCCTCCTCTGCAAACGGCAGCCCCTCGCCTGAGCTGCCCCGAGACGGGGGCGTCCCCTCAGGCCCCGGCTCTTCTTCCGTGTCCGACGCTGGGCCTGCTGGGGCCAGCGGGCCAGGGGGCTCCAGTGGGCCAGCCGGTTCACTCAGCGTCCGCCTTCGGGGCCCTGTAGCCCCCTCCGTGGGCCCGGGGCTCCCATCCAGTGGAGGTGGCTCAGGGGTGGGGCCGGAGACAGAGCTGAGGCGCTTGGGGGGTGGGGGCGGGGGTCCTTTGCGGCGGGCCCGTAGGGCGAAGGACTGGCTGCGGGGAGCCCCCCGAGTGGGGATGGGGCTAGCACTGGTCCGGGTGAGGGCACTGCGTCCTGGTCGCCGAGTGAGGGTGGCGTAGCTGCCCAAGGCACTGCCCACTGGCCCTTCGGCCTCCCCCTCCACCTCCCCTTCCGCCGGACCGGGCCGGCTCAGGCTGTGGGACCGGCGCTTGGGCCGAGGTGGGTCTGGGGGTGTGGCAGGGGCACCGGCCAAGTAGGAGAAGGCCCGGGGCGCACCAGCAGGTGGCCCTGGGGCTGGGCTGGAGGGCGAGCCTTGGGGGTACATAAAGACATAAGGGGGAGGGCCTTGGCCAGCAAGCGGGGAGCAGAGCTTAGGGAGCCGCTCTATGCCTTCAGGAAGGTTCCTCTCCTGTGGGGTGCTGGGGTCTCCACCACTGGGCTGGGGTGCCGGCTGCTCCTGTGAGTGACCAGACCCTCGTGAGCGTGCCCCAATGCTCTCCTGACTGGGGGAGCGGGCGGGCGGCAGGGGCAGCAACTCGGGGCCGCCCCCCGCCATGGCCGCCTGTAGCTCTGGGCTCAGCTCACTGCCCTGGAAGGTGAGGAGGCGCAGGCTGGCTGCAGCCGGATTGTCCCCGTTCTCCAGCCCCTCAATGGCCATCAGCTCGGGGCCCCTGGCCAGCCGGCGCCCGCCTTCACCCGGGGCCTCCCCCTGCAGCAGGCCCCGGCGGAGCTCCGCCAGCCGCTTTACCCCCAGCATGAGCTTCTTCTGATGCCCTGCGAGGGGGAGAGAGGCGACAGGGTCAGCGGGGCTGGGAGGGTCACGCCGCATCCCTCCTCAGCCCTGTTGTCTCTTCTCAACCTGGACCCTGAAAGCTTTTTGAAGACTCCCGGCGGCACTGGGGGCCCAGGCCCCCTAGAAGCAGTCCTCACCGAGCTTGTTGACGCCGATCTCCTGCAGTTCCTCCCACGTGAGGTCAGCCACCAGCCCCATGGAGTCATAGCCGCTGCTCACCAGCTGCTTGTGGTACTGTGGCAGCCCCAGCGCACACAGCCACTCTAGCAAGTCCGCCTAGGAGAGCGCACTGTCAGCGCTGGCGCCGGCCCCAGCAGCCACAGCCATGGGACGGGGAGAGCTCAAGCCCACCACCTGGCCGCCCCTCACCGGGATGTAGTTGGGCAGCCACTCCGTGATGCTGAGCTGGGCGATTTCAGAGGCAATCTTCTTCCTGTGCCCAGGCTTGGTCACCCCGATGGCCGTCAGGTCCTGCCACACAGTAGGGCCGTTAGGCCCCCTCCATGGCCCAACGGGCCCTCCAGGCCCCTCCCTGCCATGGCACCTACCTCGGGCGTCATGCGGCTGATGGTGGGCACATCGTAGCCGGCCTGCAGGAAGTGGGCCGTGTAACCCTCCAGCTGGAACTCACTCAGCCAGTTGTGAATGGCTTGGGCATCCTGGGGGAGGGGGCCAAAGAGGAGTAACATGAACAGGAGCTGAGCCAAGGCCGCATTGCGGGGCTGAAGCCACAGCCCAGCCCAGCAGGCCCAGCATCCTATGCCGCTGCCTCCCCCAGAGGCCTGGCCTAGTGTACCGCCCCGTCCCCTCCACAGCCCTGCCCCAGAGGACAGGCCAAGCAGCACTTTATCCATGCTAGGCCCTGCCATCTCCCCGTCGCCACCACCCCAGTGGGGGGCACACCTTCCCCTCCAGCAGCTGTCCCGGCCTCACATCCTGGGTAAAGATCTGCTCCCCCGAGCGGTAGTTGGCCAGAGGGTGGTGGCTCAGATTGTCTTCGACGAGGAAGGGAAATGGAATCAGAGATGGCAGGAGGGAGGAGTGCCAAGCTCTTGGCCTCCCAGCTGCACCCATCCCAGCACCCAGGCCTCTGTGCCCATCCTACCTGCCACGGGCAGGGGGTGCAGTCCTGGCAGCACGTGGTCCTCCCCAGCGGAGGGCAGCGGCTAGAGAGAGAGGAGGGGCTGATTCAACGTTTGATAACCTGGTAGCAGGGGGCGGTCCTGGCTGTGACCTGCCTCCCCGCGCTCCTACCTGGGCGTTCTCAATAAGGAGGCCGGTGCTGTGGCCGTTGGTGCCCTCGGAGCTCTGCCCACTGCCGGCACTGCGGATGCTGCCCACGCTGCCCTCGCTGCCCACGCTGTTCCTGTCACCTGCTGCAGGGGGCAGAGGCAAAGGGTTAGGGCCCAGCTGGCCTTGCCAACAGCTGCCAGGCAGCTTGCCAAAGCCAGATGCCCACACTGTGCCAGTGCCGCACTGCGGGAGCAATACCTGGGCTGTCTGGGCTGAGGCCCACGAGAGGGAGCTGGCCGTAGGAGAGAGGTTGCAGTGGCTCCTCAGTAGGAGGCTGTGGCATCCTGGAGAAGCCGTGGCGCAGGGGAGCAGGCGCAGAGGGGAGGCGGGGGGTGGGGACGCCCACCCGCTTGCTGACCACCTCGACGATGCCCGGAGGGAAGTAGCCCACGCGGTCAGTGCCCCTGTGGCTCTCATGAATGTGGCCCTTCCAGCGGCCATCGGGATGCTGCTCCAGCACCTGTGGCAGGTGGGACGGTCACTCCCTGCACAGCACCTGATACACAGTCGGTGCCAGATAAGGAACAGGATCCTGCACTTGGGTCCCTCACCGTGATGACGTCCCCGGCCCGGACGTTGAGGGCAGTGGGATCGTGCAGGTTCCAGAAATCCTTTAGCGCTCGTACCTTCAGGATTCCAGAGGCCTCTGAGAAAAGGGGGAGGACAGGCATCATCTGAGGGTCCTCAGGGCACCTTCCTGCCCCTCCTGGCCCCTTCACGCCCCTCCCCCAGCCCCTGCCTTGCCATCCCTGCAGCACCTCCCCATGACCAGCCCTAGGCCCAGAGAGTGACAGCTTACCTCTGCATATCCGCCCCCTCTCCACTTTCTGGTACCTATGGGAACAGCTCCAGGAGCACCCCCACCCGCGGGGTCTCCCCCAGGCACTCACCCCGCAGGAGCTGCTTGATTTCCCGGCTGGCCTGGGAAGTGGTGAATTGGTTCACGATGTCCAGCGCCGTCTGGTTGTACGTGTTCCGGATGTTCACATCCACCCCGCCCTGTGTGTGCAGAGCAGGGTGAGTGCCCACTAAGCTCCCTGCCTATAATCTCTCTCCGACATCCCCCCACGACCCTGGAGCAGGTCCTATCTCTGTTTTCAAATCTTACAGATGAGGACATGGAAGTGCAGAGACAAGGTTAAGCACTAGGCCAAGGTCACTCAGCCAGTCAGAGGCAGAGCTGGGACTGCTGCTGGCACCCTTACCCAACCGCCTTGGTGCTGCTCACAGGGAAATTAGCCTTCTTCCTGCCGCTCGTGCAAGATGCCACAGTCACCATGGCAGCCTCCCTCCCATGTCCCCAGCCCCACCCTATGCTGCCAGACAGTCTCGGCACACAGAGGGGCTCGGTGGACACCTGCTGGGTGGCCTGGCAGTGGGCGTGTCTCCCAGGGTGCGTCTCCGAGGCTCACACCCACCTCCAGGAGCAGCCGCACCACCTCGGTCTTGCCGTACAGAGCTGCCTCGTGGAGGGCCGTGCCGGCCTTGGTCTGGCGGTTGATCTCAATCCCAGCCCTCAGGAGCTGCCTGTGGTGGGAGAGTGAGGCACAGGGGGTGGGCAGGACAGGAAGCCACCGCCAGGGCTGGGAGACAGGTCTTGAGCAAGGACGAAGAGGGCAGCGGGGGCAGCACCGAGGAGTCTCTGGCGTCCCACAGGAGGGTGAGGAGGAAGTGGGGGTGCCAGCAGGTACCTGATGACCTCTTTGTGGCCGTTCTTGGCAGCTAAGTGCAGGGGTGTGGTGTAGTTGGGGTCACACGGGTCCTTGGCCTCGCCCTCCAACAGCGCCACACATAAGTGGCTGTTCAGTAGCAGCTGGGTCACCTGGAGCGAGCAGCACAAGTTAGAGCCTTTCCCTGGGCTGCCCAGATGCCCAGGACCCGGCACCCCAGGGCCGCAGGCCTCACCTTGAGCCGCCCAAACTCACAAGCCAGATCCAGGGGTGTCTTCTTGGCCTTGTTGACCAGGCACGGGTTGGATTGGTGCTGCAGGAGCATCTCTGACTGGGGAGGGGTAGGGGACTGGGTGAGCCAGGCCGGCCCCCCATGCTTCCCTGGCTCCCTGTCCTCCAGCCCCCGTGGGGGGTCTCCGTACCACTTCATAGTGTCCGTACTGCGCGGCCAGATGCAGAGGGATCTGCCCATCCAGCGAGGCGGCGTTGACGGCCGCAGAGGCCCGCAGTAACAGCCTCACGGGCTCCAGCCGGCCCTGCCAGGCCGCATAGTGCAGTGGGCGCATGCCTGGTGGGAGGGAAGGGGTTTTTGAGGGAGGCCCAGGCTGGCATGGACAGGGCAGGACTGAGCAGAGTCTGGGAGGAGACAGACCAAGGAGACGCTGGTCTTGTCCAGGTTCAGTCACAGAGAAAAGGCAGAATCCCACTGTGCCCACCCCATGACAGCGACATAACCTCTGAGCCTCAACCTTCTCATCTGAATAATGGGACAACAGCACCATGCACCACCCCAGAAGGTTGTGGCGATGAATGAGGTAAAGGCCATTTACAAGCCCAGAGAAGCTCTGCAAACATTTATTAGTACTGCTACAGGGTCCCTGGGGGGAACAAACAGTTAACGTGCTCAGCTACTAATTGCAAGGTTGGTGGTTCAAGTTCACCTGGAGGCACCTTGGAAGAAAGGCCTGGCGATCTACTTCTGAAAAAATTAGCCATTGGAAACCTTATGGAGCACAGTTCTACTCTGACACACATGGGGTCACCAGGAATTGGGGTCATCTTGATGGAAACTAGTTTAATAATGTACTCGGAGTGAGCCCTCTGACCACAGGATCTGGGTGGGGCCCTACCTTCCCGGGCGGGGGTGCACTGGGTCTCACCATTGCTGTCCTTGATGTCAACAGTGGCCTGAGCCTCCAGCAGCAAAGCAATGAGCTCCAGGCTGCCCCCCAAGGCAGCATGGTGAAGTGCGGAGAACCTGGCATGTGGGGGGACCAGGGCGGGGGTGTCACCAAGCAGCCCCACCCTCCAAATCTCCGTCTTCCACACTACAACTCCATCCCAGGGGCTGGCGGGGTGGGTGACTTGCCCACTGTGGCCTGACATCCCCGCCCCCGCCCCCACCCGCCTGGCCGTGGGAGCGCGGGGCCCGGGATGAAAGGGCCCAGTGTCTGTGCTGAGAGGCCTGTTTGTCTGCCTCCCCCTGGCTGGCCCAGCGGAGGGGGCCATGGGAGCAGGGCCTGAGGGCTCCTACCCTCCAGGGAGAAAAGGGGGCCCAGTGGGAATCTGACCCCAGGAGGCCCCTCAGAGAGGTACCAAAGCCCCTGTCCCCGCTCAGGGCCAGCTCCACTGGCAGGTGGGGGCGGGGCAGGACACCTGCCTCCCACCCTACCCAGGTGGGGCCCGTAGCTCTCAGCAAACACACTTCAAGGACCAAGTTTGAGAGGGACCAAGTCTGACCTCGGGCCCCAAGGTCTTTCTTCCTCCCCCCTCCCTCAGGATCCCCCCTCCCACAGCTGGTGGGGGCCTCACACTCACCCGTCAGCATCTTGGTAGTTGACATTGAGCCTCTTCGTGGAGCCGAGGAGCTCTGGGGTTCAGGGTGGGGGGCATCAGGGCAGTATCAAATGATCTTGCCCCCACCTCTACCCTCCCCCGGGCCCTCCCTACCCACCTCTCAGAGCCCCGCTGACCTCTCGGGGTACAGGAAAGTACTTGCCCCATGGCCTTCTCCCTGTCCTGGCCCTGTGGCTCCCAGCCTGACCACTGGTCCGCTTACTCGCCCGCCTGTCACAGGCACAGCCTGCAGGGAGCCACCACCGCTGCCCCAGGGCCCAGCTCGCTTATAGAGCCGAAGGGGGCGGGTGGGGCTGGCATGCTGTGCCCGGGCCAGAGAGGCCCACGGAGCGCATGGTTAGCATTCCTGCCTGGACAGGCCAGGGAGGGAGCCCCATTGTCCCACCGGGCAGAGGAGGGGAGGCCCCAGAGAAGGGAGAGGGGGCACTAGGTATTCAAAAGCAAGAGCAGAAGGGCTGATGGATGCCGGGGCTGGAGTCAAGGGCACCGTTCTGGCTGTGGTACACCCCTGAGTGGTACATAGTGGTGAAGGCAGTGTCAGACAGACCTGCACCCAGCCCAGGCTCTGCCATAGACTAGCCGTGTGGTCTTGGACAAGTCACTTAACCTCTCAGGCTCAATGTCGTCATCTGTAAAATGGGCTGATTATAGCATCTGCCTGGCCCTTGTCAGCATGCAAAAGATTGGAGCTATCACCACTTAGTCCCTGGGTGGTGCAAATAGTTTGCACTCAGCTGCTAAGGGAGAGGTTGGCAGTTTGAACCCCGCCAGTGGCACTGTGGAAGAAAGGCCTGGCGATCTGTTTTCATGAAGATTACAGCCTGGGAAACCCTATGGAACTCTGGTAACTTACACATGGGGTCACTGTCAGTTGGAATCGACTCATCTGCAAACGGGTTTTTTTTTAAATTTTTTTTATCACCATTGAACACTCCTTATTTGTTAGCCACTGTCATCCAGATGTTATCCTCTGCGAAAAGCTCGTAGAATCCCCCACTGTCCCCTGGATCCTGTGGTTTTGTAGCCTGCCCTGGGGTAACTGTTAACTGCACCCACAGGCTCCAAGCTGAGCTATCTATACCACGGGCAGGGGGCTCTCCTTGGGTGGTGGCAAGAGAAGCTAGGGGCACGGCAGGAGGCTGGCTCATCACTCTCTCGGGATAAGACTGGCACAGATGTGGGAGCCTGGCAGGGCGGGGATGGTCCTTGATGAGCGTTGGGGAGGGGAGAGGGGAAGGCCTGTCCCAGGCTGCCTTGCCTCCTGCCACAGCTTACCCCTGCCTGGAAGGAGGCCTGGCTCACCCCGGGCCAGGCAGGGTGCCAGGCACGCTGGTCCAGGCTTGCCCCCCCGGCCCTGGTGGGCCCCCGAATGCCCCAGCAGCCTGAGCAAGACAGGGCCTCATTCCAACAGGGAGGGGCCAGACGCAGGGGGAGCATAGGGTATGTGGGGAGGGGACAGCTACATTCAGAGCTGGGCTGAGTTACACTACTCGGAAAAGGTAGATACAGAGCCAGGAGTGATGGGAGAGCGGAGGGAGAAACCAGGCCTCCCAGAACCACTCGGACAGTGGGCAGAACGGGGGCTTTGGAGCAGGGAGTGCACGGTTCAAATTCTCGCTCTGCCTCTAGCTGGCTGGCACCCCGGCCAGCCCCTGCACCTCTCGGAGCCTCAGTGAAGGAAGGTCATTAGGGAAGATAAGCAGGGAAGAGACACAGAAAGCCCTCTATTCCACCACCCCACCACCAGCCTGGACAGTCTAGCATGGGGAGCTGGGATGGCAGGATGCAGCCCCTCTGGGGAAGGGCAGGACAACATGACAGGAGGGACAGGAACAAGGGCAGGGCAGGCTGGGTGGCTCCAGTCCTTCTAGAACAATGGCCGGAAAGGCAGTCCCAGGAGAGGCTCAGTGACTGGGCTGGGGACCTTGGTGGAGGGTGGAGCTGCGGGGTTCCTGGCAGTGGCTCCAGGCACTTCCCCTGCGGCACAACCTTCTTCCCTAGCCTGGGGGTGGGGGTGGAAGGGTCACTCCTGATTTAGGCCCGGCAGCGGATGTGAGCTCATTCAGTCACCCCCAGCCCACTCCATTTCCTTTGACCAGAGAAGGGGACAGCTAGAAAAGGGCAGGGGAGAGAGAAGGGAGGGGCAGGGGCAAGGCGAGGGCAACTGCACCCTCTTCTCCCAGCCACCTGCTCCCTGAAGATGGCCTGGGGTGGGGGCAGGGAATGCCAGTCCCCAGTGACCAGAGAGCAAATGGAAGAGGCCGAAGGTACCCCTCTCTCGTGCTTTCTCTTTGGATAGACAGAAAGCTCTAGAAGGAGAGAGAGGTGCCTCAAGACCTGCTTTCCGGCAGCTTCCTTGCCCCTCTGTGGTATGGAGCAGGAGTTCACGGCCCACCTTCTGAGAACTGGTTTAGAATCCCCTGGAGAACTTTCTAAACTGCAGTGTCTCGACCTCCTGGAATGTTCTAGTTTTAAGGGAAGTCCAGGGAGTGAGCATTTGTAGAACAATCCCCAGGTAATTCTGACGGACAGCTGAGTGTGGGAGCCCAGGGGAGAGGCACAGGCTTGTCTCTGATGTACCACACACGGCTGTGTGACCTTGGGCAAGTCATTAACCCTCTCTGAGACAGTTTCCTTACCAGTGAAATGATACAGAAATATCTGTCTCACAGGGGGAGTCCCTTTGTGGTTAACGTGCTCAGCTTCTAACTGAAAGGCTGGAGGTTCGAGGCCACCTGGAGGTGCTTAGGAAGAAAGGCCTGGAAATCTACTTCTGAAAACCTAGTCATTGAAAACCCTATGAAGCACAGTTCTACTCTGACACACATGGAGTCACCAGGAGTCAGAACCGATTGGATGGTAACTGGCATCCCACAGGGGCGTGGAAGGGATTATTTTGCAAACTGTTGTGGTTGTGTGTCAAGTCTGTTCTGACTTAGCAACCCCACGTGACAGAGTGGAACTGCCCCATAGGGTTTCCTAGGTTGTAATCTTTACGCAAGCAGATTGCCAGGTCCTGAAGAACAGCTGGTGGGTTTGAACCACTGACCTTTAGGTTAGCAATCGAACGCTTAACCACTGCACCACCAGGGCTCCTCTTGCAAACTCTAAGGCTTGCAAATGTCACCAGCGATCTCACTGTTGTCACCAGCTTCCCTGGCTGCTCAGAGGACTGGGAGCGGAGGCCTCGGGCCCTGCCATGCTGTGCGAGTCGTCTGCAGGGGCGAATTCTCCCCTTTGGGGCTGTGGGACCAGGCCCCTTCCTTCTCACAGGGCTCCTGTGGGACTCAGGGAAACTTCTTGGAGCTGAGGAGTCCGTCCGCCTGAGGTTCCCACCACCGGCCTCCACAGCCCACCTGCCTGCCCTCTGAGAGCCTCACTCTGAGGCCCAGGGCTGTGAGGCGGCAGCAGCCCGACCAAGGCCCCACTGGGCAGGTGGCCAAAAACAACACGGAATGGGGGAGGGGAGTGGCTCCCACTCAGGCCTCCAGGGCCCTCCCCTGGGGCCTCCGAGCACCTTTCCCCCATGCTGCTCACCCGGTACCCACTTGCCCAGGGCACAGAGACCACCCCCACATTCTCCATCCCCCGGGTCTCCTGTACTGGCGTGCAAGTGGGTGCACACATGTGTGCCCACAGCTCCCGGGGAGCCTCGGGCTCCCAGCCCTGAAAACCCTTCCAGCACCCTGCACCCCCAGATGTGGGTGGGGACAATTAGCATCCAGGTAGCCTGGGGACTCCTTCCTGTGCACAGGGCCAAGATGTGTCTTGGGGCTAGAGCCCCAGCACCCTGGGGGAGACCCTCCCCTCCAGGAAACTCCTCCCCCAACCCCCATCTGGTGGCAGGCACCACCTCCTGCCCCTCCTGGTCTAGGAACTCAAGGTGACAAGTCTAGTGACCTCCTGGGACGACTCAGAGAGCTCGCCCTGAAGCTCAGAGGACTGCTCTCCTGGGTGGTCTCTCCACAGAGGGACTCAGGGGAGGGGGCTCAGGTGTGGCCCCCATAACCCTGTCAGGACTAGAGCTCCCACCCAGGCTGTGGAGAATCCTCCAGAAAATCAGCTTTGGCCACATACCCCCAGGGGACACAGGCAGATATATCAGCGGGAAAGGGGTGTTAGCAAGTGGTTAGAAAGTGCTTAACTTTTTTAAGCAGTAGGACCCTCTGTTTAAAAGATATCTTCTTGCAGGCATCCTATTAAGTCAGTCGTAACTGCAGAGATGCTCTGACTGAACAGTGTGTGTGTGGAGGGGAGGGTGGAGCTCTATCTAGTCGTCTCTCCCAGCCCACTGCCCACCCCATGGCTCCAAAGAACACATCTTCAAAACCACCTGCTAGAAGCAGCTCCACAAGGGCAAGGACTTTTGTCTGTTTTCTTCACTGCTGTGGCCAGTGCTCAGAGCAGAGCCTGGCACACAATAGGCACTCAGTAAAACTCTGAATGAAACATCTCACTTTACAGGTGAGGAAACAGAAGACCAAAGAGGTTAAGTGATTTGCCCAAGGACACAGAGTAAGGGCACCCGACTTCCTCTCTCCCACCGAGAGGCACTTTCTTGTCCAGACCAGAATAGTCCTTCCACCCCAAGTCCCCAGATCACTATAGCCCCCAAGCCTGTCCGCAACCTGAGCACTCAGGGATGCGTCTCTGAGGTAGGGATGCATCTCAGCTAATGGTCACCCCACCAGGTACTCACTGGTCTTTGCGGCCTTGACCTTAGCCACCAGCTTCTGCACACCAGTCACATCCCCGTTCTTGACAGCAAGGATCAAATCCTGCTCACGACCCATCCTGGCCCCTGAGCAGGGCTCTGGGCTCAGAGGTCCAGGGCAGAGGCAGGGAAGGTGGTCCAAGCTGAGGAGTCAGGTCGCCATGCCTCGGGCCCTGGAGGGCCAGGGGTCCTGGGGGATGCGTCTGGTGCCCCAGGCAGTGGGCTCCTCCTCAGGTGCTGAAAGTGCTCCCTCAAGGTGCTCTGAGCGCTGTCACCACAAGCAGGAAAGCTGATCTCTGAGGGGGTGGAGGCTGCATGGAAATCTGGACGGATATCAGCTTGCAGCTTCCGACGGCCCTGGGATGGGCTGGGACTGGGCACACCACTCTGCCCAGCTTGGCTCAGGAGCACCAATGCCCACTCAGAGAGCAGCCAGCATTCCCCTGGGCCTTGAGCGGCAGCCGTGGACACTTCTCAGGGGTCTGGCCTGCAAGGGTGCCAGAAGCAGGGCTCAGACGATAAGCAGGGCAGGGCTTCGAGGGAGCCCCCAAACCACCCTGGCTGCCCCCAGGGTCAAGGGAGGGGCTGAGCCCCTCAAAGCCGGCAGGGAGCCGTCAGGAGAGGAGAATGTGGAAGGGGTAGGTGATGTGCTGGGAGGGGGAGACTGAGTCACCTGGACCCAGGATACCTGGCAGCACCTCAGCCTTGGGAGGAGAGTCCTGGCATCACTACCTACAGGGGCAGGCCAGGCCAGCAGCCTGTTCTCCACAGCCGGAGGCCCCAACACCCACAGACAACTGGCGGGCCAGGAGGTGGGGCCTGGGCGTGTAAGGCATGGCGACGGGCAGGGGTCACTCCTGTGGAAGGTGCCTGACCCCAGACGCCTCCCTACCTAAGCCGGACTCTGATAGCTGGGTGCCATGGCCCCAGGACTCCTAATGAGTTGAGGGGGTGGCATGGGGAGATGATGGCCCCCCGTTTCGGGTGGTAGGGTCTGCCTGCTGGAGTCTGCGACTTTCCAGCACCTGTTGCTGACCCATCCTTACCCTTACGTGGGGTGGGGGAGCAGCTGGGCAGACAGCAGAGACAACAGCTGGGGCACTGCTGGCGAACGGGGCGCCCTGGCCGCCCAAGCCAGAACCTGAGGCCCACAGCAGAAAAGCTCCCGTCAGTTCCTCAGCCGCGGCGAATTTGCTGCCCGAGTCCTGTGGCATGAGACCGTGCAGGCCTGGGGCCCTGCCTGGGGACGCCTCGCCCCCAAAACGTCCCAAACCCAAACCACAGGGCGCTGCCTCTCTCGGCCTGCGGCAGGCAGTGCTTGGGGTCGGGCTGGCTCCCCCGCCCCCCGGAATGCCCCTCCAGCGCCGCGCGACCCCCAACCCAACCCAGCCCAGGCCGACGGAGGAACAAAGCGGCGGGAAGGATCGGGAGGGCCAAGCGCCGGAGCGATCGGTGAGGGAGGACGGAAAATGGGAGCGCGAGGAGAACGAAAGGAGCAAGGAGATGGAGGCACCCGCGGATCTCGCAGGAAAAGTTAGTTTGTGCCAGCCCCCAAGGGCGCTGACCCCCGCGCGGGCCCCACAGCCTCACCTCTCGCGGCTGCCTGGCCGGGGTCCGGCTGGCCCTGTGCGGTCCCCGGCACTCGGGCCGGAGGCTCCCACTGCCCCCTGCCCCCTTTCTCCTCTTCCCCTCCTTTTCCAAGGCCGGCTCGGCGCCTCCCGCAGGAAATCCCGCCCCTGCCCCCCTCCCGCCGGATCGGGAGCACAGGGACCGTCCCGGCCGCGCAGTCGGGCTGTCAATCAGAGCCTGTGACCCCACCTCCATCCGCTCCAGGCCACGCCCCATTCGCCCGGTCGAACCGGGGGCGCGGGTCGGATCTGCGCATGCGCCCAGGTGGAGTGTGCAGGGTAGGGGGACCTTCATCCCGGTGAGTTGGCGCGGCTCTGTCGCGGTTGTGGAGCTGGGGCCACCTGAAGCTCTAGAGTCTAGGCTGAGGAGCGAGGTACTCTGGGTGGGACAGAAGACGTGATCTGAAGGGGTTTGGGAGCCGAGACCCAAGGACTCACTTGGGAAGTCCCCCTTCCTCTTTCCCCCTTGCCTGTCCCGGGACACCCACAGTGATCCCTGCCTGCGCCAGAGTCGCACAGCCACAGCCGCTGCCCGGAGCAATGGTGCCACCTAGCGGACGGTGTTGGAACGGCCCACGGCGGCGGTTGCGGGGACCCCAGCCTCGAGAAGGGGCTAGTGGAGAGCTGGGGTGGCGCGTCAGCACCATCGTGGGCCGGACAGCGCCTCCCGCCCCCGGCCCTAGAACTCTGGGCTTCCGAGATCCTTGGCAGGGAGCCGACGGAGACCCTGAAGGAACTCCGAACCTCTGCGGACCAAACCTGACTGCCACGGGTAGCCTTCAGTTTGCGAAGCTGGAATTCGGGAACCCACTGTCCTCCCTTCCCTAAGACCCCACTTTTTCAATCCTTGCCCAGCCTGGGGTTGTGGGGACTAAGCAGCCCAGGGCTGTGGAGGAGAGGGTCACACATTTGACTATTCAACACTCCCAGGTGCCAGGTTCTCAAGTTTTATTAGAGAAGAACTCAGAAGTGGGCTGGCAGCAGTAGACGGGGCTCGGCGGGGCGGGGGGGGAGCTCTTGTTTTTGGATGCTGTCAAATTGATTCCCACGCAAAGCGACCCCATGTGACAGAGTAAGAGTTGCCCCATAGAAGTCTTTTTACAACGGTTCCCATATGGTCTAGCGGTTAGGATTCCTGGTTTTCACCCAGGCGGCCCGGGTTCGACTCCCGGTATGGGAAAGTTATAGCTTTTTTCTTTTTCTTTTTCTTTTTTTTTAGCAGTCCTGTTGGCTCAAGCGGTTAAAGCTCTAGGCTGCTAACCGAAAGGTTGGTGTTTCGAACCCACCAGCCGCTTCGTGGGAGAAAAATGTGGTAGTGGGCTTCTGTAAAGATTTACAGGCTTGGAAACCCTGGGTGGCAGTTCTACTCTGTCTTATAGGGTCGCTATGAGCCGACGACAATGGGTTTGGTTTTTGGTTTAATCTTTATAGGAGGACTTCTGGTGGCGCAGTGGTTAAGTGTTTGGTTACTTACCCGAGAAGTCGGTACTTCGAACCCACCAGCTGCTCTATAGCAAGAAAGATATAACAGCCCGCTTCCGTAAAGATGGCAGCCTAGAAAATCCTGTGGGGCCATTCTACTTTGTCCTATAGGGCCGTTACGAGTTGAAATCGACTCCACGGCAATGAGTTTGCTTTCGTTTTGGAATCTTTACGGGAGCTGATCACCAGGTCTTTCTCCCACAGAGCCGGTGTTGTGTTCAAACCGCCAACCTTTCGGCTAGCAGCCGAGCGCTTAACCGTTGCGTCACCCGCAAACTCTCAGCTCCGGGAATCGAGGCACACGTGTGAGGCCGGTGCTAGGATTCAGGATACCCGGGAAGGCGGAAGCCCGGTGGGTGATGGAGGACTCCGCGAGCCTAAGTTGCGTCGGCGGGCGCTAGGGCCGCGCGGAGCTCCGGAGGTGGGCGGGGAATGGGCGGTGCGCGCGCGCAGCCGCAGATGGCGGCCTTATGGAGCCCAACGCGGAGTCCTCGGGCGTGGATGTTCCTGCCGGGCGCGTGCTCAGGTGCGAGCGGCCGGGGCAGGGGTGGCGGGCGTGGGGTCGCCGGGGAGCGCGGGGAGAAGAACTGGCGTCTGGGGCGGGCAGGCGGCCCGACCGCGTGGCGCTGACCCACGTCCCTCCGCCTCAGCGCCCGGGAGCTGCTTGCCGCCCGCGCGCGGCCCCAGAAGCTGCCCCAGCGCTCGCATGGCCCCAAGGACTTCCTCCCCGACGGCTCGGAGGCCCAGGCCGAGCGGCTGCGCCGGTGCCGTGAGGAGCTCTGGCAGCTGCTGGCCGAGGAGCGCGTGGAGCGCCTGTGAGCGGGCGGGCGGCCAGGGCTGGGTGGGCGCGGGCGGGCGGGCTCTGCGACTATCGTGTGGGCTGAGACGACCCCTTCCCGCTCTTTGCCAGGGGCAGCTTGGTGGCCGCCGAGTGGAGGCCGGAAGGCGGCTTCGTGGAGTTGCAGTCTCCTGCGGTGAGCGGCGGGGCTCGGATGCAGGGGAGCCGCCTTCTCTGTCCTCCAGGCTCCTCTGACACTTTCTCTGGGTCCCACGCAGGGTAAATTCTGGCAGACCATGGGCTACTCAGAGCAGGGCCGGCAACGGCTTCACCCTGAAGAGGCCTTGTATCTGCTGGAGTGTGTGAGTGGGGCCCGGGAGGTCGGGGAAGGGTTTGGGACCAAGGAACCCAAAGGACACAGTGGGTAAAGTATACATAACTGAGTTTTCAAGGAGCTTGTAACCAGACTTCAAGAGCAGAAGACAGACTGCCTCGCAGGGAACAGAGGTTTCAGTCCAAATTAGCGCCGCTGACCCCCTTTCCTGGCTGGCCTGTTCTTGCAGTGATGCTGGGGAGGGGAGGCATGGCAGAGCCAGGAGGTTGCCCCATTTGGCTGTGCCAGTGCAGAGGAGGGCTCACAGGCTGAGCTGTCGGCCCCTTCTTCCAGGGCTCCATCCAGCTCTTCCACCAAGACCTGCCGTTGTCCATCCAGGAGGCCTACCAGCTGCTGCTGACCGAGGACACTGTGACTTTCCTGCAGTACCAGGTATCTGCCACCCTCTCCAGGGACAAGAGCCACCCACCCATTGAGTCAACGAATATATACAAGCATTTACAGCTACAGGGTGTTAGGCACAGTGCTACGTGCTGGGGCCACAAGACAAACAAGGGCCGTGCTCTCACGGTGCTTCCATTCTAGTGGTACCAAGTGGATAATAAGTAAACAAGCAAATGAACTATTGGCTTCAGAGAGAGTTGAATGCTAGACAGAAGATGAAGCAGAGGGGAACAGTGATAGAGAGAGACTGGAAGATGCTAATTTAGACTTGGAGACCGGAAAGGTATCACTGAAGGGCTAGCATTTGGAGAAAGACCTCTCTGTTAAGAAGGAGTAAGCTATGCAGACATGTGGGGACAGAGTACTCTGGGCAGAGGAAATAGCAAGTGCAAAGGCCCTGAGACAAGACAAGCTGGGGCGGGGGCAGGGCGTGAGGAACACAGTCATGGTGGCTGGCACCGTGTACACAGAGAGGGCGGCATGAGGTCAAGTAGCAATTGGATACTTAAGCCTGAAGTGCAGGGGAGGTCAAGGCTAGAGACATAAAACGTGGACTTCATGAGCACACTGATGCTGTTTAAAGGCGCGAGACTCTATGAGAGTCTGGCCAGTGAAGAGGGCTGGGTCTGAGACCTGGAGCTCTTCAACACGAGGAGGCTGCGAGAAGGCCGATGGACCAGAAACAGACTGAGGAGTGTCCGGCAACAGCAAAACCAGGAGAGGTGGCGGCATGAAAGCCGAGACAAGGTCTTTCAAGGAGGAAGCGGTCAGCTATGTGGAAGGCTGCTGAGTTCTAGCAGGATGAGGGACATCCCTGGATCATGTCCCTCTGACATGGATGCACAGACACAGGAACAAATATGTGACTTTTCACCAGAGACCACTCCCACCCCACCCCACCCATGTCTGCAAGTGGGAAGAATGTCCACCACTTTCTGTCTTCTTGTCTAAATCATAGGAGCTTCATTCTTGTCAACTTTGGCATCAGGGCATTCTGGAACATAGTTCTTTTTCTGGTCTCTTGCTATCAGCTTTAAGTCAAGAAACTACTAAATGTGAGATAAATGAGCAGGACAGGATTTCAGAAGTAGAGACTCTACTTTGGGGAGTGTGCTTATAATGGAGTGTGTTCCAGCTGGTGCCAGGGTTTGGGCTCTGCATGTGTGCAGGAGGGACAGGGGAGGGGCCTGGGGAATGGCTTCTCTTTGGAGCAATTATTTGGTGTTTTCAAGAGGAGACGTTTGACCTAAGTCTTTTCTTTCTCTTGAGGTCTTCAGCCACCTGAAGAGACTGGGCTACGTGGTTCGACGATTCCAGCCCGGGTAAATCCCCATCCCTTTTCCTTCTATTCATTCTAACCCTGGGACCCAGCTGGCTAGCCCAAAGTGGGAAAGTGGCCTCTTCCTACCTGGAATCCTTGGCTGGAGCCCTGGAACCTTCCCTGGACATGGGTTGGCCTCTGCTGGAAGAATCCGAGTTATTTCAGTTTATCAGCTGGCTCACTCCACTGGTAATGACAGAGCACCTGCAGGGCACGGTGAGCATGGAGGTGTGGCACTGAGCAGTGCCCAGCACTTAGTAGGTGTGCAGTGGATTTGCTGAGTAAAGGAAGGACTTCCAGCTGAGTAGGGTTTCCCATTTCTTATACTAGGCTAGATGTTCTTTCTGGGGCCTCTGAAGATCATCCCCTTAGTAATCGAGCACTGCGAAGAGCCACGGAGCCCCTCACACTGGGTGTGGCAACTGGTCCAGCCTTCGTAGTTTCACAGTATGTCACAAAAGCTCTGCACCAGGCACATCCTTTGACTGCTGAAAGCAGAGTACAACCTAAGGAAATAATCATGATGTGTGTAGAGACTGACTGTGAGAATGTTCCTCCATTCATTCATCAGATATTTACTGAGCACTCGCTGTGTGCAGGCCTTGTGCTAGGAGCCGAGGACACAGCATCTGCCCCCGCAGAGCCTGCACTTAGTGGGGAGCTGGCACAAAACAGCATCACTTTGCAAAGTCAGTGAACTTGGAAACAACCTAGGAGCCGAACAGTGGAGACATGGTCACATACGTTAGAGTTTATCCTTTAGAGCAGCCCTGCCTAACAGAACTTTCTGTCATAATGAAAACGATCTCCATCTATGCTGTCCAATGCATGTGCCTTACGCATCTATGGAACTAAATTTTTAGCTTCCTTTTAAACCAAACCAAACCCATTGCTGTGGAGTTGATTTTGACTCACCGCAACCCTATACGACAGGGTAGAACTGCCCCATGGGGTTTCCAAGGAGTGGCTGGTGGATTCGAACTGCCAACCTTTTGGTTAGCAGCCGAGCTCTTAACCACTGCTCTGCCATAGCCACTTGTGGCATATTGGGCAGCACAGCCTTAGAACCAAAAAAAAAAAAACCAACCCATGCCAGAGAAGAATGCTGTGGTGCTCAGGGGCTGTGTTTATACGGCACAAATGGTAAAGCACTCAACTACTAGCTGAAGGGTTGGTCGCTCCTGAAAGGTCACAGCCTGGAAAGCCGTATGGAGCAGTTCTACTCTGCACACGTGGGGTCACCGTGAGTCGGAATCCACTTGACGGCAACTCACAACCAAATGCATAGAACAATGTCATCTGTATTTGAAAAAGCAGAGATGGAGAGCAACACGGGGAGTGTGTGTGTGTGGAACAAAAATGCTAACAGTGGTTATCCAGGATTTTTGTTTCATCTTTATTTTTCTGCATTTTTCAAGTTTTCTAGCTCCTCTTGGTTTTTCTCACAGTGATCAGTCATTTCTTGCTGGCTCTGCAAACCCAGCAGTGGGTTCAACTCATAGCAGGAACCCCAATTCCAGGGAACCTCTGTTCAGTGGTGCCACTGGTGAGGACCAGAGGCCCAGGCAGAGTGGCATGGCCAGGCCCTGTGGCCTTAGCCCCCTGCTGCGGCCCCCTGACTTGTCCTCTCAGCCCCATCCCCCACAGATCTCACGGGAGCCCAGGCGGAGAAGATGGATCTGTTGCCTGCCCCATCCTCTCCCCACAGCTCTGTCCTGTCCCCTTATGAGAGGCAGCTGAACCTGGATGGCAGCACCCAGCACCTGGAGGATCGAAAGGGCAAGAGAAAGAGGAGGAGCTCCAGCTCTCGGTAATGCTCCCCCCATGCCCCCCAGGGAGTTGTGGGGATGCTGAGATGTTGGGGGTGTGCTGGTGTTTGAACCCTTGGCAGCTCCTGCAGTGGCTCAGGGAGACAGCCAGGCACCTGCCCTCCCCTTTAGCTCACGGTGGGCTGTACGCCCATCAGCGATCAGGAGCAGAGCAGCTACTTTTCCTCCCCACGTCCCTCAGGTCCATTCCTAAGAAGTCCAGGACCCCGGAGAGCCCCCTGCAGGGGGTGAATGGGACACCTGAGAGCCAGGCCACCTCAAGCCTAGCTCCCTGCAGCCAGAACAGCCCATTCCCAGAGGAAAAAGCCCAGGAGTTGAGCCCCAGAAAGGACGCTGAGCTTCTGGGGTCCCTGGATCCCTGGCCTGGCCTGGCCAGGGACAGGGTGGGGTGCAGCCAGGAGAGTGGCAAAGTAGAGAATGGAGCCCCAGGGGCTTGTAAGCCACGCTGGAACTTTGAACACATCTCCTTCCCCAACATGGCTTCAGATAGCCGCCACACCCTCCTGCTTGCACCAGCCCCAGAGCTGCTCCCAGCCAACATCGCTGGGCGGGAGATAGACGCTGAGTCCTGGTGCCAGAAGCTGAACCAGCGGAAGGAGAAGCTCTCCCGACGGGAGCAACAGGCAGGGGCCCGGCACTTCCGGGAGGATGTCAACATGGACCCCGAGGTGCAGCGCTGCTCCAGCTGGCAGGAGTACAAAGCCCTGCTCCAGAGGCGACACCTGTGGAAGACCCAGAGCCGCCCTCCACACTTGTGGGACCAGCCTGTCACCCCCTTGCTGAGCCCTGACCAAGCGGACTCCCCAGGTACTCCCAGCCTGCCGTAGCCCTGCCAGCCGCTGGCAGCTGAGGAGTCACAAGACTTCAAAAGGGGCATGGGTTGACCAGGACTGAGCCAGGCTAAGGAGGATGGGGGAGGAGAGACTGTCCGATGGAGTGGAACCCATGACAGTCTACTCCAGGACAGCAGCAGAGGGCCCAAATGGGGACATTAGAGATGGTTGGTTGGTGACTAAGGAGAGGCAAGGACGAATGAAAACTACCACCATGCCCTTAAAGTCATAAACAAGATACAAGATGCATGTGATAGCTTCACCACCAACCAGCTGTGGCTTCCTGTTCTCCCAGCCCCACTAGATTGGAACCAGGAGGTGCCATCTTGGCCACATAAAAGGTTGAGCTTCTGCTTTTGCTGTCAAGCTTAGGGAACTAACAGGGCAAGACTAGCCCAGGCTGAATGCATTAACAGATTCAGAACACCTTAAAATCCTTACGGGACGTGGCAGATTGTAACCAACTAGATTAGGATTGCCAGGTAAAATAAAGGTGTTCTGTATCTTTTATTTGCTAAACCTGGAAATCCTAAACTAGCTGGCAGATTCAGAAATGTCGAGGGATTCTGTAGATGGTTGACTCACCCCTAAACGCTTGTTTTCACTGCCTCGTAGCCACGGTCCTACAGCATATCTCGGTGCTGCAGATGACACACCTGGCTGACGGAGGGGCCCGGTGAGTTTGCAGACAGCAAGGTTGGGACTCATTCCAGGGACCCATACCCACGTGCCTAGCTCTGAGCAACACCTGATGTTCGTGTGTCTCTCAGAGAAAAGGAGGAACCACAGACAAGGGGTGGATTTATCCCAAGGGTTGAGATACGGCAGCTGACCTCCCCGCTGCCCCTCATAGCTCCTTACAGCCAGGACCTCAGTTCCCCTGGACCAGGCTGCCTTCTGGAACTGGCAGAGGGCAAGGAAGGTGGGGAGGAGAGTTCCTGTTTCCTGAAGTTTCACGCTCTTCCTCAGGCTGCTGGAGAAGACTGGGAGCTTGGAGATCAGCTTCGACGTTTATCAGGCCAACGCTGTGGCCACTTTCCGAAAGAGTAACCCTGGCAAGCCCTATGCTCGGATGTGCGTTAGTGGGTATGAGACGAGCGAGTGTGTACTACTCCCAGTTCTTGTGAAGCCATGTGCACCTCCTCTCTACCCCCACCCCCTGGCCAGTCCGAGCGGAACCTGAGTCCAGAGAGGTTACATGGCCTCCGTGTGAGGCCACACAGCCAGTCAGTGCTGTTATAATCCAGGTTTTCCAACCCTTAGCTCCTGAGTCTTGGGATTTGGGGTAGGTTCTCTCCTGAGTCACTTTAGTCCCAGGCTCCCTCAGCAGAAGGGACGAGAAGCAGAGGGATTTACAGGCTAAGAATGGTGAGGGCCTCCCTCTTCTTGGAGCACTTAGCAGAGCCATGCTGCCTGCAGAGAGGGCAGCCCAGGGGCCAGCATTCTTGTCCCTCCAACTCCTGTCTCACACCCTCCTTCCCTGGGAGGCTCACAGGGGCTGGGGTCTCAGAGCTTACGGGTGGGCTATGCTGAGGTCTCAGTTTAATCTTTCTCCCTGCAGATTTGACGAGCCAGTCCCAGGCCTCTCCACCCTCAAGCGGTTGTCCTACCAGAGTGGGGATGTCCCCCTAATCTTTGCCCTGGTGGATCACGGGGACATCTTCTTCTACAGCTTCCGGGACTTCACACTGCCCAGTGACCTGGAGCACTGACCATGCAGCATCTCCCTCAGGGAGAGGCTGGGGCTGGGGCCTGCTCTTTGGACCTGGACTGTTTGCTCTCAGGGACTGTCTTAGCATCCTGTGCCTGGAGCAGCGGGAGCCAGTCCGCACCCTGGCCCTGGTGTCCGACGCTTGCTGGAGAGCAAAGCCATGCCCCTCTACCCGGCCACTGCAGGGCTTCCATGCTCCAGGCCTGAGGTTGCTGCCTTGCAGTGACCCCCTTGGAACTCAGGACTAGATTTCAGAGACCCAGCAAGGTGATGCAGAAAAGAGGACTCCGTGCCTTTAAACGAGAGGGTGCCTGCTTCATGCGACAAAGCCAAAGCCATTAAAAAGTTCTCCCTCCTGTCGTGGCTGGATATATGTACTGGACAAGTTGGATCTCCCCAACCCGCAGTCCAGGCGCCGCAGTGCGCCGCGCTCGCCCCCGCCCCTTCCCGTCCCCCGTTGCCCGCGGTACTGACACACACTAGAGCAGCCTTCTCTGGTGCGGGACGGGACGTAAAGAGTGAGGGAAGCCGGTGGGAGGCCGGAACGCGTCCCGCCCCTCTCGGGGATGGAAAGTCACAGACCTCTAGTCGTCTGGGGTTTCCGAAGGGTAGTCCGAGGAAGGAGTCCGGGGCTCGGCCGGGTCACGGTAGAAGGGTGGCAGTGGCGGTGAGGCCGGAGCTCTAGACGCTCCGAGGGTCCGCCAGCAGCTGCGCGGGAGACGCGCTCCCTCCACGCTCCCGGGCCTGGGGCCGGGCTTCTGCGCCCCTTGCGCTCCCGCCTCTTGCCACTCCACTCCAGCCGCCCCCCTCGCTGGTGCTAAAAACTCCAGCCGCTGCCCCTCGGGGCCGCGGGCCCCTGCCGGCACTGCAACAGACTGAAGAGGGGTCCTAGAGCCCTCTCCGAGGGGAGGCGCCTCGCAGCGACACCTCGGCCCTGCGTCCGCTCGGATCCGGCTGGGCCCTCCGCGGGCAGTGGGGCCGGGCTATGGGAGGAACAGTTCCTCTCTGGAGTCCGGCCGGGAGGCGGCCCCGGGACCTCCGCGCGTTCCAGGAACTACTTCCTCTTCTGGGAGGCGACGGGGCGTGGCGCTGCGTCCCGCGACGCAGGTACGCGCAGGTGAGGCCGGGGCGGGCCGGCGCGCCTTGTGCATATTCACGACCTGGCCCCGCCCCGGGAGCTCGGGGCCGACGATTGGCCCGAGCACCGCCCGGCCCCTGGGCGCCCTGGCTGCG